TGCCTCCGACCTGATGGCAATGGCCTCCAACCTAATAGCAATGGCCTTGTACCATGATGCATTTGCACAATTGATTAGGCAACACACCACGTGCACAAATTGGTAAACACGATGCATATACCACAGAGTGATTGCATGCCTATCAATTTGCCCATTTCGGGTTGGACTTTGGATGCCTGCAACAGGTGCCAGGGGTAGAAGACAGCAGCTTCTCGGTGGATTTTCTGTGCAAAGAGATCAAGGAGCTCACAAGGTAAGAGATGCGGCGGTTTTCTATGGATTTCCTGTCATGCTGGAATCGGACTTGGCCCAAGCTTTAGTCAGAATTTGTAAGTTCCCCGCTTCCAGACCCAGAAGCCTGAGTGGAAACAAGGGCAATTGCTTTGTCTTTTAAGCTGGGCGTTTAACGGCTCACGTGTTGACTCCATTGCGATCCAAAGGTTTGATGAAAGACCAACTTGGGTGAAGTCTGGTGAAGTCATGGTTTCAGCTTCATATATTGAATATTGGAAAGATCCTAAAATCCTTCATACTTCATCCATGCCAGTCATGCTGATTTCCCCTTCCCTTCAGCGAACCAGGTGCACCAGTGCGGAAAAAGCATGGCTGCTGGAGGCGTCTCAGCGTTTGGAGAAGGCCATGCCAAAGGAGCACGCCCAGGCGTCTCGTCCTGCGGTGAGACCACAGGCCAGCCTCACAGACCCGGGATGCAGTGATCTCAAAAGCTTTTACAACACCTGAAGCTTCGAGCTTCAGTTTGTTCAGCGATTGCTTCACTTGAGTTCAAATTGCCATGAAATTCAGTCCCCGCAAGCCGTTGATTGATCCATTCGCGGAAAGCAAATCCCGCAAGAACCGACCTTGCATATCTTACATGCGCAAAAAAAACAGGGAATCAGAATGAACGTTGAACTTGTTGCTTGAATTTGATGCTTTGCCAGGACAAGAAGCTATACAGACCCTGCACTTGATTTGTTCAGCCTTGCCAGGACCAGGACAATGATGATGATGATGAACTGGAGCTTGTAGCTGATGCTCCTCACTTGTCAGATGATGTTGCTTGCATGCACGGAGTAAGACATCACATTACGTCTTATCACATATATATAACTATAAATAATACATACTGACTAAATTGATTGCATTCAATCATCGGTTCTTGCATGGTTTGAACAACTCTTGGGAGATGTACCATTTCAGCTACTGCCAAGACACTGGAAACTGTCTCCAATGGCACTTAGAAGACCAATGATCTTTTGATCAGGTGTTCCATGTGGCACTCATGTTTGGAAACAAACAACTCATCAATCCGAAGTCTTTGAGGGATCGAGGGAGCAAGGGAGCGAACGAATGAGAGATTCGCTCAGAGAGAGAGGGAGAGAGAGAGAGAGAGCGCGTAGTCTTCAGTCTGACTGTGGCCCCCAGGCAGTGAAGAGATTTGACTCTGAGGCCCCCGAACGCCGCGCGCACAGGGCGTTGGGTTCCACAGGGTTCCACACTCGCCTTTGGAAACTGCTGGTGATACACCATGGAACCTGAAATAGACCTTTGGAAGACTATTTCCTCTACAACCCAGTGGTGTTCAGGTTCCATGTTAATCTTCCAGGGTGCATTAGTTGTTACACTATGTTACACTGTGGGTCTATCAAGGTGAACGGTGAACCTGTGTCTATGCCAGTCATCATGACAAGCAGTAGGCAGTAGCAAGGGCATCATGACAAGCAAAGTCGACCAGCGAAGCCATGCGAAGCCCATGACCTTTCGACAAGAAGCCCATATGCTGCCATACTTCTTGCTGGCTAGAATTCGTCCAAAAGAAGTAGCCACAAACATGTAGGGGCCCATGACTCGGCGCGGAGGAGCTGGTCAGAGATGCGCAGGCTCACCTGGCTTCCCCGTGTGGAGATGAGATGTGTGTTCTGTTGGTGTTTGAGTATAGTGTTGAATAATGGTGCATCACTGATGGAGAGGCCACAACATGCCACATGTGGTGGTTTCCGAAGACCCGACATGATTTACAGCTGCGGCAGATGCCAAAAGCGCTACATCGTTGGCATTGATCATCTCACCATATCATATCTCATCTATGAATATCTAGAGGTCTGAACATTGCGCTGCATGGGGATGGGAGAGGCACCACTGTGAGAAAGCCCAATGGTCACCAGAGTTTGGCCCGGCCTCCCGTGCAACAACATGGATATTGCGCAGTTGTTCCATGTCAATCCACGTTCCTATAGAGAGGTCATGAGATGTTCAGAAGCCCTGTTCCAGAATCCAAGAAAGAGTACGCCCAGGGGGAGGCGGAAAAGCACTTCCCAGGAAGTTCTTGCCTGCGTTCATAGAGATTATATACATAGAAATATGTTCTGGGATCATATACCACTTCTTTGTCCCTCCACTTTCTGTCAGGAGGCAAGTGCGGATGCCATAGCGGAGGTGGGTCATTCAAGAGCCGACACCGTCGACCCTACCTCCGTCAATATTAATATGCGTCGCAGGTCAATACGGCTGCTCTTCGGCAGGCCACTGCAAGATTTGAGCTGGTTAATTGCAAGCTGGATTCATTTGGATTGCATTTGCACGTTTGATTCTCCATGTCGACCTCGAGACTTGATTCTCCATTGGAATTCAATGCTGTTTTCAAAGGAAAGGGGTTTAATATGGGCAGAGCAAGGGACCAGAAAAGCGCTGCTTTTTTCAGGAGCACTTGCTGCAAGAGACCACCTGGGTGCGGCGCTGGGTGGGGGGTGTTCAATACGGCCTTTTCCCTTCTTGAAATCATGCAGCTGCTTGCTTCCCACACCAGCAACACCCTGGTAGCACAGAAATCCTGGTCATTGACAGATTCGTGGCGGACGCTTGAAGCTTGAGACACACCGAAGGCTGCTACTGTGGATGCTGATCGCAACGCCTTTGCTGGATATTGGATTCGACTTGTTGTGGCAAGAGCCTGATTGAGATGCTGAAGACCCGAGGATTGATGAGGATTGCACATCTGCATGTATACTGTATGTGTTCCCAGGCGTTCCAGGAGGTGTTTGTACGAGTGTGCCACGGTCCAGAACATCTGAGGCACTGGCCAAGACATCTGGACCAGAGCGTGATTTCGCGGCAGGTTTGGAGGTGCCGCAAGCCGCAAGCCATTTGGTGCTTTAGTGACTCTAGTGATTTCGTGACCAATCACAATGTCTATAATCACACATGTGGTGTGCCAAAGCTTCATCGCGACAAAAAAGCAACGTGCATTCTGTGCAGGTGGCATCTCGGCAAGAAAAGTCTGATTTAGCTCGCTTCGGACTACCTTTCCTGCAAAGATGGGTCATGTTGCTTGCCTCAGACTGCGGTAGCAGTGGGCTCGTTCAGCACACGGGCATATCTCTCTCTACTATATATATATATACGCATTATATCGCATTATGACATAGTTGTCCTTCTCATAAAAGCACTCACAGTGGTTTTGGCCATGCAAGAATGCTTTTCGTAGATGCCATCTCAATGAGTTTTGCAGCTGCTTAGCTGGGCTCAGCTGGGCCCAGGATCACTAGATTCAGTTGATGGAATTTTGCACAGCTTCCTCGCTTTGAAGATCTTCCACTGAGGCGTACCCATGGTGGACAGCTTTGGTTGCAGGCCAGTTTTCACAGCAACTGGTGGAAGTGTTGCGACATGTTGTGACTACCACCCCAATGCCAACCCAATGCCTGTTTGTTAAAGAAGTGCAACGGTTGAGAACTGGCTGTGCCACATAGTGCTACTGTGATCATACTCCACAGGTGGGGATGTCGACTGATGTGTTTGTTTTTGAAGGTGCACAAGTTACCAGTCAAAGAAAGACGGCCAAAGCCACCACGGGAAGGACAGGGCACGTGTGGACCCTAGGAAGGCAGAAATAAGCACCATGACTTGTGACAAGTTGTCCAACATGAGTATCATGAGATATAATGAGATATTAATTTATCATTATCATGATGCACACTCCGACTCACACGGAAGTGGATGGCCGACTCCCTGTTAGAGCCAAACAGCAGAGCGTATTGCTGTTCCGGATCACGAGGTATCGATTCTCCAACGGTGACGAGTACCGCGGAGAATTCCGCCGTGGTATGCGCCACGGCTCCGGCGTGTACATCAGCCAGAGGTCAGATAGAGAGATGGGATGATATGGGCATAGAGACATTATATGCAGTATATGTTGATTGTTTGTAGTTGTTTTTTTGTTGTGTGTGTTTCATGCTTTCAATATGTTTTACCTTTTGGTTAAGGTAGTGTATCCATGTTGGATGAAGAAATGCAAGCTCCACTGGCTTCCGAGCTGCCAGGAATCGGATGCAATACGATGGCCAATGGTTCCGTGATCGCCGCCATGGCAACGGCACCCTGACGATCGAGGCTGCTGGCAAGGCGAGGATTCCTGGACAGACACGGCTGCAGTCCGCGAGATGGGTCGATTCTCGTGTAAATTGTGTAACAGATGTCACTCACTCAAGCGCTTCGAGGTGCTCTACACCTACGATGGGCAATGGCAAGCGGATCCATGTTTGCAACAATAAGGGTTTGCTTAATAATTGTGTGTTGCTATTCCTTGTGTGGCATCTTATGCAATAATAGATAGTGTGAAAACACGGAAGTATGAAGTGCAACGTGTTCCGATTCCAACCGCTCGAAGTGTCGGAGTGAAAACGAAGTGAAAAAGGGTAGAGCTCCTTTTCTAGGCGTAGCGTGAACATGCGTGCTCAAGGGGCCCCTTAGGGCAGATGGCAGCGGTCCGTGGACAAAAGCTGCAGTCAACGAGCAACCCACCATGGTTCTCCACATTTCATGGAGTGAAATTCACACCGGTGGTTGTCTCTTACAGTCGGCGCCATTTGATGAGCGCCTCGGTCGCGCAAAATGCGCAAGCATCCCAGGTCCTCAGCTGTTCCTTATCGGCAGCTGCTAGTCCCTGGCAATCCATGTACATGTGGAAGGACTTTCCTCTCTTTGTTGTCCATACCACTCTTGGGGTGTAGTCATTTTCTAGTTCATTCTTCAAATTGACGAACCGCTGTTGAAGGTTCGCCCACTGGAAACTTGTCTTGTGCAAATCTTGTTCGGCCTCAGTAAGTTGGCCTTTCAAAAATTCAACCTTTTCTACCATTTCGTTCAGATCCTCTTCTTGCGCTGTGCACTGCGCTTGCAGCTCAAAAATTTCTGCTTCTTGGTCATTGGTGAGGTTCTTAAAGCCATGGCAGCCGAAGAAGCTCTAGCATTCATGCTCTCCCCTGAGACGACGCTGACGCTCTATGCCATCCCCTTTGGCATGTTCATTTGGCAGTGTCTCAAAGTCTCTACATCCATGAGTGTTTCGGTTACCAGGTTGACATGGTTGAGGACCACCACCTCGAGCTCTTCACAGGTCGGAACACAAACCGACCACATGATGGAAGAAACGGTCCGCCTCATCAAAGCGGAAAACATCAGGCTTAACTCCAATCATTTGTGAGGTGAGAACTGCAAAAGCTAGCTGCTTCGTGTTGCCAGTCCTGGAGATGGCATGTCTTCTGGAGTTTGCTTGCCTTTCAGCCTGGGTCTTCTTCTTGGCGGCCTGGAAGGTCATGTCCGATTGCAGAGAGAGGCAGTGGGATCGTAAGCGATCTGCGAACAACTGTCGGGCCGTGAACTTGGTGACCCCGTCGGCGATCTGAGCTTCCGACGATACCCACTTCAGGCGGGATCTCATGCCCACCATTTTCTGTTTTGTGACCATGACCTCAATCTTGGTGCGTTTGTCGCCTTGAAGACTTGGTGTCTCAGCCTTCAGGGAATCATAGAGGGCCTTAGCGTCCACCACTAATGCCGATGGCATCCCAGGAGCAAAGCTGTCCACCTGACGAAGCTGGAAGTCATGGCGGAGGCATCCTTCCCAGAAAATCAAAAGATACTCCAGGGCATCCATAGCGGCCGAACAAGCCTGACTCTCAGCATTGAGCGAAGATCTGCTCACACGAGGGAGCTTGAAGCTGCGCCAATCGAGGATGATGTAGTCCTGAGTGGATCCATCTTCCAGCACTTGTTGGTTGCAAAGGAAGATCACGTAGCCGCCTTGCGACTCATTGTTTCGGCGCACTCCCCAAGCTGCGTCGCTCATTGCGACCGTGCACAACTTGTTCAAGTCTCCTCCTAGATCTCGAAAGACCAGAGCTGCATCGCCGTTTGACTTGGCGAATCTGAGAACTTTGTTGGCCTGGGCTGCTGTGTCACCTGTTGCCGTGGTGACCTCTCCACATAGCAGTGAAACCGAAGCACTGAGGTGTGGAGACGTTTGTGTAGCCGGCCACTGAAGTGCTCCCAGCAAAGCTCGAAGACAGCTCTGTTCCTTGGAGTTGAGACTGCGATTGGAGTCATAGTTGACGCATGTCATGGGTTTCACACCCTTGAGGTTCTCAGCCTGGTGCAGCTTGGATTCCGTCGAGGTTCGACTGAGGTGGCAACCGCAAAACTCAATAGGCTTGTCCTCGGTCTCCTCAGTCCAATGCTTGAAGTTGAAGGCGTCTTTCAACTGGAGTTTGAGGTGCTCATACTCAGGGTGGCCATCCTGTCCACAGCCAAGCAGGTCATCGACATGAAGACCAACCATGGAGATCAGGTGCTTGTCGGAGTCGTGGAACGTGTAGAGGCATTGATCCAGGGCATGAGCCTTGTAGCCTAAGCTTTCCAGTCGTCTGCGAGCGACAATGAACCATTGCCTTGGGGCATCGGCCTGGCCATAGATCGGTTTGATCAACTTCATCAAAGTTCCTGGAACGACACCGATGATTTGGCAGGCGTCTTTTCGAATTCTGGCCCACAAAGTTCGCTCCTGAGGGTCGCCCTGGAGGAATGCAGTCGACACGTCAGCTGTCCACCGTTTCCAGTGGTTAACCTGGCTGATGGCCAGGAGAGTCTGCCTTGAAGTTCTCGACAGTGTTGGTGAGCTTGTGTCCAATGACCCTTGGAGAAGGTCTGGGTCAGAGAATCCTTGAAGCACAAGTCGTGCCTTTGCTTTCACGCCACCTTTTCCATCCGAAGCCCACTTCAAGACAAAGCGAGCCTTCATCACCCGGTTGTGGTCGACGGAAGTGGGATCCATTTCAATCTCCTAGACTCCATTCTCGAAGATGCTGGCTAACTCTGCTTTCTTTCCTTCAAGGAATGCCAAGCGATCTTCCAAGGTCATGCGCCTTTCGTTGAGGTTGGCGCTCTCCTTCACATTCTTCTTCTTTGGAGCTCCAGCTCCAACTGCTTGCCAGATGTGGCCGCGACCTCGAAGAGCCTTGCAGCGCTTGAGCTTGCTGGTCATGTCTCCGATGTAGTGAGAGCCGTACTGCTGTGCACCTTCTTGAGTGAGAGGGTACAAAGTCTTTCCAGTCAAAGCTTCATTGAAGTGCTGTTCGTCGTAGATGGTGCGGGACCCTTTCTGCATCGACAAACCGGTGGTTGTTTGTAGACACTCCTCGGCGATGGGGAACTGCTCAGGATGATATGTGGTTGTTCTGCCCCATACATGATTCCTGACCAGGAAGCCATCTTCAAAGCTCCACCAATCCTTCGTCTCACCAAGGATGAATTCATTGTTCTTTTCATCGTAGCGCCAGCCTTCAGGAAGCTGGGTGGACTTGTCAAAATCGAAGGAGTGGAGGTCAACCTCAATGTCTCCTGAAGAAGTTTTGATCTTCTTGCGAGCCCAAATGGTCTCCTGCTGGTCGAACCGGCGTCTCCGATCTTGGAACGTTTCAGCTGAGCTTGGTGGTAGGTAGGAGACATCCACCATAGGAGCCGGTACTTCGTGAGACGGTCGACTTGATTCAGCTGGGCGGTCAAGATCATCATCTTCAGGCACTGGAGGTAGATTTGATGGATCTGGTGGTGCCATAGGAGTTCTCAGATGGGAAGGTTCGACCATCGGCTCTTCCTCTTCTTCTTCAGATTCTTCCAGTTGTGGTGGTCGTTGTGTTTCGTGCTGTTCCTCATGTTGAGGTTGTGATGCTGCTGCCGGTGCTGCTGCCGCTGTTGATGCTGATGCCTGTTCGTTTGCCGTTGTGCCATGTGGAGTGGCAGAGGGTGGTTCTGCCACTGTTGGTGTCTCTTGCTGTCGCGCTCGTCGTTCTTGTGGAGGCTCAATGATATGTCCATCGGATTGCATTGGTGACGGCATTGTTTGTGGTGCTGCTTCAGTGTCAGTGGGAGTGTAGTCCATGTCGCTGATCTCGGGATCAACCTCATCGATGGGTCTTTTGTTTGACCTCCGCAAGTCGATGATGCGCACTGCCCTGCGCTGTCGGAGACCGTGGAGAGCTTGTTGAACTCGAGTAGGTCCATCAACCATGCCACTATCGTTGACCAACTTCCTGACGTGCTGAGCACCAGCCCTCAAGAGAACAGTGCCATGGGCCAACCAGTAGCATGCAACAGTGCCTGTGTCAGGGTCGCGCTCCACAGCGAGGATGATTGCAGGACCCTTCCATCGAATGGTGTGTGCCTTGCCGGCAGCGTCTCTCCAGTAGAGGCATCGTTCTCCAGGGTAGAGGTCCTCGTCTTTGCCAGTGTAGCGACGAAGGAGTGCCCTGCGCAGCTTGACATCGATCTCGGCTTTTCCGCACGCTTGTTGTGCTGAGAACTTCATGCTCAATCTTCGATGAAGACGTTCCTGCTCGGTCATCTGCAATTGCAATGGCCCAGTGCGTTCGTCAGAGAGGAGTCCTGGCATGGAAGGTTCTTGGCCAAGTGCAAGCTGTGCAGGAGTGAAGCCATTCACGAAGGTGTTGCTGTTCATGGAGGGAACTATCCAAGCTAAGGCTCCATCATGAAGATTGACACTGCCTTGCGAACCAACTGGTGACGTCGTTCAACAACACTTGTGCGGGTGTGAGCCTGTCCAGGTGCAATGCGAAGTTCGATGTCATGCTGTTCGCACCAAGTTGCAGTGGCATCAGATGCCCATCCTGTGCCCTCGTCGGTGTAGAGCTGCTTTGGTGGACCATGGAACTGAATCCATGCTCTTTCCAAGGCTTTCTGCAAGGTTGGGCCCTTTTCATCAACAACTGTTCGGGCAGCCATGTAGCGAGTAGCCACATCAACCATCACGAGCACTGCAATCTTCTTTGCTCGTTGCTTTCGATGACCTGCCTCCAAAAGCATGCCGATCTCGTCCATCTCCAACCACAGAACATCAGCCTGGAGCTGTGCATTGAACTCTGTAGGACGATCGAGATGACTTGGAGCGTTGCCCTTCTTGACCGAGTGAACCTCGCAGTAAGGACAATGCAGGTCTTGGACGGCAGATTGGACTGCCTTGTTGCAGCCACGATCTTTGAGCATCTTCAACAAGATCTCTTTGCGGGGGTGTCCAAGATTCCGGTGCAGGCGAAGAGCAGTTCTTGCAGCTTCATGGCCGTGAAGAGTGCCAAGTTTCCTGAGAACTCCAGTCAGGGCCTTGTCGTCGTCGTGCGCGGCATAGACCTGTTCATTGAGCCCTTCAACAATGAGCAAGCCATGAACGAAAGTGGAAGCCAGCTCTTGTTGGTAGTCCTCAGCTTTGCGGCAGCGATTTCGACCTTCTAGTCGTTGATGTTCGTGTTGGCCATCGCACCTTTTGGACATCAGTTGAAACATAGCCCACTTGGTGGTCTGCAAACGAGTCGTTTTCTTGATGGGCAGGAGGGTGCCATCATCTGCTTCTGCCGTGGCGCCGTAGGCGCCTTGGTCAAAGATCGCCTTGTGGCCTGGCAAGTTCTTGAGGTTCTTGGTGTCCCAAGCCAGGCTCAGTGCTGGGTGCTCCAAGTGAGCATGATCTCCTCGGCGAACTTGTTTGTAGTAGAGCTTCTTGCACATAGCCAAGTGAGTGGCATGATCCACCTCTCGCCGTTCATGGAGATCTTGAGCCTGTGCTTCATTATGGGTGTTGATTTGTTGCATTCGTGACTCCGTGACCACAAGGTGCACTTTGGGGACATGTAGATCTCATCAGGTTCGAGTTCGTCACATTGACGTAGAAGTTCTTTTCGATGGGAGGCTTTGCTGAAGTCCCAACCATCGCGAAGTCCAAAGCGCATCACCTCAACATCGCCGTGGTCCTTGAGCAGCTGAGTGATCAATCTCACCTGCATAGACCTCCCAGATGAGGCGTTTTCTCCGAGCGAGGCCATGCTCTCTGGCATGATGGATTTGCTGTTTCACCCACTTTCCTTGGTCGATGTTCTGGGCCTCAAACATGGTGAAGAGTTTCTCAAGTTGTTCAACTGTCTTTGTCGAGGCTTCCGGAGGGATCTCAACCATAGCTTCTTGATCCACTTCCATGTAGGTGGGTTCTTTCACAAAATCACTCTTCTCACATGCCTCGCAATAGGCGTTCACCTCGGTGGTCATCTCAAAGAACCGTTCATGGGCGTTGAGGTCCTCAAGGAAGTCATTGAGCTTGAGGGCGTGTTCATGGCCGTCCTCGCATCGAAGGTCGAAGGAGACGGGGCGAAATTCCGCTTGGTCGTTCACTTCCTCAGCCAATCTCAACAACATAGCCCCCTGACGGCCTCGTGGGATGCCCCGCCAGGTCTCTCGTTGGAGGAAGCGCATCTTGCCCCGTCCAAAGTCGATCTCAGCCTGAAGAGCTTCGAGGAGAGGTCGTCCGAACAACATGGGAGTGGCTCCATAGATTCCATAGATCACGTAGGCCTGCAAGCGGCCTGCAATGCCAGCCAAGCGAGCTGGGAGCTCGACCATCCAACGAGCGTGACCAGTGGCGTCACCTCCAAAGCGAAATGACTTGTCGCATCTCTTGAATGCGACGTCCTCCATGGGGTAGCCAATGAGCTCAAGCCACTTCAGGTAGCGCAAGATGTACTCGCTGCCTGCCAAGAAGGACGAAGCTCCTTGGTCCTGAATGCACGAGTCAGGTTCCGGGGTCAACCATCCGCCAGCTCTGACCAAGGTCTCACCCTGTGTGTAGGCCTCTTCAACATCATAGAAGACCTCAGAGTCATAGGGGTCCTCAGCGTCAAAGAACTCTTCGGCATCATAGAGCTCAGTCAGGTGAAGTGCCATGTGAACCATCGCATCATCCTCAGCTGGCCTTTTCTTCGGTGAGGTAGATCCGGAGCCCTGAGCAGTCGGGCAGTTTGCAGCAAAGTGACCGGGCTTGCCACATCGAAGACAAACCATTGCGGAACGAGCTCTTGACTTGCCGCTGGGGCCTTTCCCGGCCGTAGAGGTCTTGCCCTTTGAGCCCTTGGATGGAGACTTTGACTTTCCAGCACCTTTCGACTTACCCTTGAAGGGAGTTTGTGGGCTTGGCCCTTGTTGCCATCCATGACCGCCACCACGGGGTAGAATCCTCTGCTCTGTCGTAGTTGGTTGAGGCGGTTCTTGGCATCAACATAGGTGCTGTAGACCTCATCAAATTCCTGGGTGTCAAACATCGACTCCATTTCATCGGGTTCGTCATGGTAGTAGGTCTCATCGGGCTCATAGTCCTGCTGAATCTCGATGTCATACTCTTGGGCGTCTTGGTAGAAGGCGTCCTCATCATCGTAGTTCTCCTCGGCTTCATAGTCATCCTCCCAAAAGGCCTGACCCTGTCGCTTCCAGCGTCCAGCCATTTGAGGTTTCCGGAGGTGTGCTGGTACATGGACATGGCGATGATCTTGACCGATGATGAGGTACAAGGCTTGTTCAACAGAAGGTAGGGTGAGCGATGATCCGACGTGGGTCTGGATCAGTTGTTCTTGCTCCCTTGTCAGCCCTGCACGTTTCACCAACATCCAGCCAGTGATTTCCTCGGGGAGGTCAATCTTGTGCTTGGAGATCTGTCGAAGCGTTTGGTGGAACTCGGTGACATACTCGAGGATCGAGTGATCTTGCTTGCGCCGCATCTTGAAAAAGAAGTTGTCAAAGTGGGTTGGCGTCTCAACTTTCGCATCATGGGCCCACTGTTTATCCAGGCGCTTGAGCAAGATCTCGAGGCCACCTTCTTTCTCCAATTCGTTCAAATCCAGGTCCTCGCACTGCGTCCATGACGGGCCTTCGAGCACAGACAAAATGTTCAGTGCCACTTCAGCTTTGCGACCTTGGATTTCCATTTTGCGGGCATACAGTTTCACTCTTGTCCTCCATTCGGGGTAGGAGGTGGTGCTGTTCTCAAACCGGGGGATGAAACTGTCCTTGTAGTCTTTTCCAGCGATGCCAGAGCCAGTCGCCGTCGATCCGGCAGGAGGTCGTGAGGTTGCGCGCTCCTTTCCAGAGGCCATGGCTTCGACACAGCTGGAGCCCACCACTTTGGGTAGGCTCCGCTACCAATGTGAAAACACGGAAGTATGAAGTGCAACGTGTTCCGATTCCAACCGCTCGAAGTGTCGGAGTGAAAACGAAGTGAAAAAGGGTAGAGCTCCTTTTCTAGGCGTAGCGTGAACATGCGTGCTCGAGGGGCCCCTTAGGGCAGATGGCAGCGGTCCGTGGACAAAAGCTGCAGTCAACGAGCAACCCACCATGGTTCTCCACATTTCATGGAGTGAAATTCACAGATAGATTCTTTTGAATGTTGAAGGGCCCCGGGCAATGCGCGCAGAATTTAGACTGAAAATAGTTTAAGTTTTAGCTTTAAACTATACCACCAAACGCCGAAAGCTTGATGTCCACGGTGTCCACAGCCGTGGTTCGATCGCCATGCTTGGGTACCTTTGTGAGAGAGACGCACGCACGGATCTACATGGTATATGGTCAAGGGTGCAGCTGAAGATAGCTTTGTGCAGACAGCAGTGTTTTCAGGACAAGCGGCATGGGTCTGGAAGCTGCGTCAGGTGTCACAAGGAGCTGGGTTTGGAAGCTGACAGTTTTGTCAAACGCCTTCAGCATTGAGCTTTGCCCAGCTTGTTTTGTCCGGCGGCACTATTGTTTTTTTCCTGCTCAGTGTTAACAACTGTCAGTGCAATCGCAGGCCTTTGCTGAGGATGTAGAATGGACCCCGTCGCATTTCAACATGTTCAGTGCCAGGAGAAGTACTCTGGACAATGGGTGCAGAATCTATACCATGGAGCCAGGTCGCCAAGGAGCCGTCACAGTCGTCACGCACCCCACGGTCGAGAGACGACCGTCCTGCCGAGGCCGGGACCTTTGTGGACGAGAAAGGCGCCCTGTATGAAGGTGAATGGCGCTATGGAGCAGAGCCTAAGGGATTGCGAGACTGAGAAGGATGCATCAAACTATATCAAACTTCTTATGGCTTTGCGGCTTTGCGAGCCTTCACGGCCAACTTTTGATCTGGATTGACTTACAGTGGAACTTCCGCTTTTGACGTTTTGTTGCTTTCTGGCGTTCATGCATTGATGCCAAGGCAAATTCCACGGCGTCGGCAAGCATGTGTGCCAGGGTGAAACCTACACTGGGAACTTTGTAGTGAGAACCTCAGGCCAGCCACTATCGTTAGATGTCAGCATCAATAATTGTGTGACCTGACAGGTCACTTGGCCCAAAAATGTCCCCAACACGTCCCAACACCACATGGTTGAGGTTGGTTGTTGCGGTTCAGGTGAATCTGCTTACTTACATCGTATGATCTTCCATCGCCCAGGATGGGGAGCGAGATGGTATGGGCCAGCTGGCTCGGGCGGCTGCACCCAAACCCACAGTACAGGCGATCACCGATCACCTCCAGCATGAGAAGTGACTGTTGGGGTTGGCGATATCAAGCTTTGGTGGATTTTCCGGATGAGCCATGTTCAAGGAATTCACATTGAACAGTCAAGAGCTTTTGCCAGCACTGAGAGCATTGTGCAAGGACTTCCTTGGATCGGAGAGTCTTTTTGCAGGCCAATGGCCACGGCCCTGGAGAATGATGGTGAAAGAGATCCAAAAAGACATGTTAGAAGGAGAGAGAGATTACCAGGTCCGATTCGCAACTTTTTTGAACTGATGGAGAAACTCAGCGCGGAGTGCGTGTACCAAGAGGGCGTAGTGTCCTGTACAGACATGCCATACTAGGCAATGAATCACAAGAAATCATAAGAATTCATGAGACATCATTTTTGGATGCTTCTGTTGTATCTTAGCGGGCGTACTGCGGGTGGGCTTTAATTAGTGACTTTAGTGCGTGCCAGCTGGTGGATGCTTGCTGTAGGCGCGTTGGACAGAAACATGGCCATGGTGCGGGACCTTGGCATTTTTTTATCAAACATGGGAGTGTGGTGGGAGTACTGTTTGACGCTGGGGGCTCCTGGCCTTACTACTAGTGGCAAGGACGCTACGAACGGAGCAGGATGCTACTAGACTAGACCCCAAAAAAGAGCAGCGTTCCATTCAACTGGATGATTTGCATCAGTGGCTCACGGCCATTTTCTTTGGCCAGTCCCTGGCACCGCCTACGCTTCCAGTCCAGGAACTGCGATCTACGCTCTGGGAGAGTTCGAGGGCCAGTGGGCGCCAGCCTCGGACGGTGAACGGATGCCCCGAAGGGTCTCGGACCGATACAGATCATGGCGCTGGCACAAAAGCCTGCATTTGGACACACCCCGAAATTGTAAGTTACATTATTGACCCCCCCCCCGTGGGGGTCAGGTAGTAGTGATGTTGAGATGAGTTCTTTCATGTTGCGGCGGTCAAGTTGTTGAGAGCCTGTGACAGGCTGTGCATAATCTTCCTAAAGCCAAGTGGCTGACCGAGTGAACAGGTGAACGGCAAACGCCATGGGCAAGCTGTCACCAACTTAGCGTGAATGCCTTTGACCGACTTAGCGGTCGAATCCTTGTGATGTTTGGGTTGGGCAGCTTGTAGTGGACTGTGTCGTTGTGCCAACAAGTAATCCTGATCCGACCCTTGTCAATTTGTCTCCAGCTGCAGGTTTTGTCCTATCAGGGTTACCAGCTCGAGGGGCCCTGGGTGGACGACTTGCCTGATGAGCCACGCTGGCGTTGTCCTTCGTTCTCATTGCTTCCTTTCTGGTGGTGTATCAAAATTTAAGATAGGGAGGCCTCCTAGTTGTGGATCCTCATTAAAACACACACTGACACCCTCCCTTATGTTGTTGCAAAGTTGGGTCAGATTCGCTGTTGGTGGATTCTTTGATGTGTCCCCATCACGAGCTTCTTTCACCTTGCTAGGCAAGCGAGTCACATGATTTTCTACCCGGAGGGCACTAAGTACACCGGTGCCTTGTCAGATAACTTTTCAGATGATTCTGATTAGCATTGCAAAAGGTCGAAACTATCATGAGACATACATGACACAATGAGCCTTAATATCAATGGACTTCGAGGTAAGTCTAAGTTGGAAGGTGGGAAGGAATATGCTGCTCAGGCCGAGTGCGCGTGTATGCCGGGGACGCCAAACGACATCAAACGACCACTAAGCCTGACAATGGGATGCGCAAGCACCTGGTGAAATGCCCAAGGCCAATGGCGAGGATGCTGCAGGCGAGGGCAGACTGTGGACGTCAGGGTCGCCCAAGAAGTAGAGATCTCTACTGTCCCGATGTCGAATATTCTGCACACACGAGTATGGGCTTGAAGCATGGGCTCCGTTGATCACGCCTCTGAGGCCTTGGAATATTGTGCCGGAAGGTGAGGGCATGATGAAAGATCCAGATGGTCGCCTCTACGAAGGACGGACCACTTGGCGACCGCTTGCGCCGGCTGTGTCTTCCCGTCTTCCATGCGGCTGGCCAAGTGGCCAAGCTGGTTGGTTTGAATTCGATCTTTTCACGATGGACGTGGTTCTTCCATGTTCTTCCTTGTTCCTAGTATAGATCCTAGTAGCAAGGCCAAGAGCCCCTTGTAGCTTCTTGTTACTAGTAACGATGCCCTTTGCTCCTAGTAGCGTCCTCTTTGGGTGTTGGGAGGGGCCAGACAAAATCCTCCCGAGGGCAGTACCAGTCCGGAGACAAGCATGGGCGTGGTTTTGCCTTCAGCTTGGATCAATCGAAGTATGAAGGCCTGGGGCGTTGTCGGGCTTGCTGAAAACCGTTCGAAAGAACGCACCTTTGACGACGCGACGGAACCCCCTACGAGGTGAGTTTCTCCATGGAGAGCGTCATGGTTCCGGGTGGTCATCATCTGAGGCTATGTCGAATCAGCTCCGGATAGCTCTAGCGTTCGTTTGGAGAACCATCCCAGTTCGGGCGTATTGATTGCAGTGGTTTGCCCCTTTAATGACATTGTTGCAGATTGAGGTTGCAGACTGCACCTGACCAGAAAGAACCGACGTTGGAAGCCAAGTTCAACCTCCGTAAAGCCGAGACGTTGTTTGAGACCGTAAAGTTCGTTTCAGCAGTGGCTGATGGCTGAGACCCGTGCACTATCAGCATGGCGAGTTCGGAGCTCAGACCAGTCCCCCAACAGCGGCTCTACGATAGCCGCCCTTAAGTAACAGTAACATAAATCTAGAGGTTACGCACCGCCCTAGTTCAGACCAGTTGGCTGACAGCCGAGCCGGAGCGATGCATCGAGGCTCACACCCCAGCCGCCGCAGCCATCAGAGGCGGAACTTCCCGTGATTTGTTTCTAGAATCTGCACGAACAAACATGCCCAGGTGATCCCAGGTGTAAACATTTGGAGGCTTCAATTCCAGACGCATGCCGCGTACGTAGTAATTCCATTTGGACACCATGATGATTGAAAAAGACAACCCGACGAAACCAACTGTCAATATTTCAATGATTATCGTCAGATTTTGCCGATGACAAATACAAATAAATTTGGAATACCAAATGAAGCAAGAGAAATTGATATACCCGAAACACCTGTATATTCAAATATAATACATATACATAGAAACATATTTACATTACATCAATTACATTCTAATATGATATATAAAAAATATAGAAACATATTTACATTATATATTATGTAATAATTTAGTATATAAATTCTATTATGATTTGAATGTATTCTTGAATGATAGAATGGAGGAGAATGCCTTTGTTCTTTGTTTTTAAATATTTCAATAGGGTCGGTTATGGATGCCCCCCGATTATCGTGGTAATGATTATTATATTGGTTGTGTTTTTTGGTTGAATGATTTGGAGAAGGATTTAATGGTTTTATCGGTATTTGATTATTGTTATTATTAATATATGCGTGATTTTCTTTTTTTCGATTGTATTATTTAAAGATAATAAAATAAAATAAGGATATAATAATCGATATATATATAAATATTGTATCTAATAAATATATAGTAATTAATTATGGAGAAGGTAATTTTAATTTATGTTATAATATTGATTATCTTTATATAATTATTAATTTAATTAATTTGAATTTAATCTATTATATATATATATTATTATATATGATTTTATAATATTTGTTTGTATAGGATTCGAAATTGTTATGTTTTGTTATAGATGATTGTTTTAGGTTTATTTTTATGTTGTGGGGTAGTAATTTTATGTGATTGAATTTGTCGGTTGATTGCGTTTGAATTTGTTTGAGGATTCGTGGGAATATGGAATTTATATTTCGATTTGGGGAAGTAAGATTAGGTCTGTTTTGGATATTATTTTTTTTGCTAGATAAAATAAGGAAATGATGTAATTTAGGATTTTGGGAATTTATGATATGAATAATATCTATTGTTTAATATTTTTCGAATTAATATTTATTTTATTATTGTTTTTTTCGAATTAACCGCTATTTTATGGGGGTAAATTAAATATATTTTTATATTTAGGAAAATGATTTAATTAATTTATTCGATGACATCGTTTTTTTATTTATTTGTTTTGCTTTATTTAAGCTTATGGTTGGATTATTCGATGGAAAAAATAATTGATATTGTTTCCATCGTGTTTTATCGAGGCGAGGAATTTTAAAGCGGTTATTATTGGGTTTGTTTCGAATAGGTGGGAATTGATGCATCCTTGAGAATTGGGCTCGTGTAGTCCTGTATATATCCCCTTGATTTGGATTAGGATATATATTTAATTTGGTTGATAGCCAGAAAGCACCTGACCGAAGCTTGAAGCAGGATCGTGCCACGAAGCAATCTTTTCTTATCGTTCGAAGCCAAAAAGTAAGCTTTTCTCCATGGTCATTTATGATTTCGCTTTTTGCTTTTCGATTATGCCGTCCGGGGCGTTAGATGCGTAAAACGCAATCGACTAATGGTTGAAGTCGAACACGGGCAGAATTACTTCTGCCGGAAAGGAAATAAAAATAAATATCGAAGAATTAATTGCAAAATTACTATTGATATTTTTCTTATGGATCGATTCATTTGATTTTAGGATATATTGATTCCATATATATCGATATAATATTAATTATGATTATATTTTCGATTGTTAAATTAGAAATAACAATATTTACAATTATATTAATTATTTTGGTAATTATAATTATTGAAATTATTAATATATGCATATTATTGGAGGATGATGATTTATATACAAAGGGAGATATGGCGGATTGAAATTTTATTAATTCTTCCGATTCAGTGATTGATTTGATTATGGGAATAATGATTATTTTGTTTATATTTGAAATTTCAATGATATTTAGAACAAGTTAAAATTTTTAATTATTTTCATATATATAAATTTATTTACGAATATAAGTATTTATCGAGGATTTTGGAATTTATGACGATTATGGATTAATTGAATATATTAATTTTAGAAATGGTACAATTATTTGTAATTATTTTTAGATAAATCGAAATATATATCGTATTTCACTAAATTAATTGGATTATAAATTAATGAATGGAATGATGGATTTGATTATTAGAATATCGTATATCATAAATATATTATTTTGATAGGTAATAAATCTAATTTAATTTGGTGGATTTATAGGACCCAATTCTATCCTTTCCTTTTATACCACGATATAGCCGCAACCTTGGGCAATATACAAAGTCGTGGGGTCGAGATGAGCAATATTTGATGCTTGTTTGATTTCTTTAAGATATCTTTCGATATAATGAAAATAATTTTCGTAAATTTTATATAGCGACGGACAAAGACTTAGAATATAGTTTTTTTTTCCAAACGACGGAACTCATGACTTAGAACAAAAAAAACGGACATGTGGTTAGAACAAAAAACCTACACACTAAGAACATATCCAACCAGCACCGGTTAGAACATAGCCACCTATCACTTAGAACACACAAAGATAGGGTTTAAAGAAGTTTAGTGTTGCCTCAATGATAATAGCTCCTTGTGACGAGCCTGCGCTTAGAACATACTAAAGTCGAGTGCCAAACTCTCTAGATAGCGGAACACACTCAAGTCTGCATCAAAAATTTCCTTTTCCTCAACTCAAGGGGGTGCCCCACCCCCACAGGTGGTATTGCCTGCCCGATGGGCAGATGCAGACTGTTCCTGCATGTTGCTTGGCCCTCCGCTGAATGCTGAGAAAGAACACATATTGTCTGTGCAATTCTATGTATGCAACATTGATTGGAGTATATATATTCAGAACGGAGAACCACGAGCCTCTTCAAACACTGTGCAGTAGATCCTCATGGAGAAAATCACAGAAGACATCCAGTCTGTGAGTCTACCAAAACGATGTGTATATAATATACATAAACAATATGTAGAGATAGATATCAAATGTTCTAAGAGAATGGCTCTTGCTACTGTAAACCCTCATCCAGATGGATCGCTCGTGCAGGAATATATTCATTCCATGCAAGTTATGTTGAATTAGTTGCTAGGTCCTCCACTAAGCACCAAAAAACAAATATGCTGGAAATTGCAAAACCCATCGCCGGACCGCTCACTTAGAACATGTCCTACCGTCCTACAGTCCTACAAGCAGCTTTGGTGTCTATGTCGGGAGAACCGACCCCAATCCTATGCCAAGTTCTGTGTTGCCTGCGCATCTTTGACACGCTGCAACTGCTGCAGCCAGAGCCTGTCCCGTGGGTAGGCCGCTACGTGGGCCTCCAAGACACCGCGGATGGCCTTGACCAAAGCCTCACACTCAGAGCGGCCCGTAGAGCCGCCCCAATTTGAGGATAAGCCAACTCTCGCCAGCGGGTAATGGCCTTGCCATTGCCTACTTGTACCATGACAAGCTATGGAGCATCCCTGAATATGGCGCGGCAGCTGCGTCAGTCCCAAGGATTCCGCCTTGACCCATGCAGGACGGAACATGAAGGTCTTGGTCTTCTTAGCCCCCTCTCCAGCCCAAGACACATCGACGTCCTCCTCGTCAGAGTCAGCCATGACAAGCAAGTCATCAGGATCACTCACTCCAAATTCATTGCAGTAAGCTTCATTTTCCAGCTCTCGAAGTTTAAGGTCTTCCATCTCCGCGTTCTCCTCCTCATCTGACTGTTCACTTGCATTGCCAGCTTCATCCCGAAGTTCTTGCAATGCATCTGGTGGCACAGCATGGTCAAGCTCGGAAGGAACAGTCTTGCTTTCAGCTCTCCCCTCACTCTTCAGCAAGACTAGTCGATAGGGTGCCCCACTGCTGGCGCAGAGGAGAAGCTTCTCAGGATCCTCTGATAGGTGCAGCTGGACACAAATGCAATCTTTGGTAACCTCTGATGCCTGCAGCACGACTCTCTTCTTGCTCTTGTTGAAGATCACCTTCTGCTTGAGGTCGAGGCTCCACTGATCAAACTTTTTCTTCTGGCTAGCTGTAAGCTCTTTTCCCATAGCTCCCCGTTTCGCCATCCTCCCCTGCCACTGGTCGTGTTCAGTGACAAATTTGCAAACCCTCATCTGCAAGACATCTGCCATCCAAGAGGGGAGGATCATCCGTGTTGTAGTGTCATCTCCCTTCTGAATCGCCCAAAGGAAGCTCTTTTCCCCTTCCTTGGACCAGAAAAAGAAAAGAAACAGATAGACAAAAAAACTTCAGACAAAAGCATTGAGGGCATAAACCAATGTTCTAAGTGTGAAAGGACACCCCCCCCCCCATGGATGACATCCCAGGGATGATATGCTGTCATATTGTGCGTGGCACCGTGTTGTGCAGCAATGATCATCATATCGTGTGGGCAGCTTTGGCGTCTATGTTGGGCAAAGCGGGCTCATTCAGCTGATAGATGTTGAGCATATTGGTGGATTTGTCTGATGGTGCATGCTACGGTGACAGACGTTTGTGTCATATCCTTTATAAGCCTATATACCCGCACACTTAGAACATAGTCTTTACCCCCCTGCCTTATCACTTCATCCAACAAATCAGCCAGAAAAAAATATACATATATGAATATAAACATACAATATGTGTATTGTCTCAGCACTATTAAGAAACAAACATATTTGCCGCCTTCAGAGAGCAAGTGGCAAGCTCTTGAATGCGCATGTGTTCG